GTCAAGTTATAGTCGTCATACTATAATTGAGCAGCTTCTGATATCACTGTAGTTAAAGGAAAAACTACAGGTTAACAATGCAAATATAATTATTATATATAAAAATTGGCTAATTTAAACTAGTTTAAATTTGTTCGAATTATATCGATATTGTGAATTAATTTATTTGATATACAAAATATTAAAAATCAAATTGAATAACAATAAAGTTTATTTTATTGCACATTATATATAATAAACTTTATGTTTGCAAATATACAAAAATGTTGTTTATTTTAATAAAATTTCGAAATTGCCACCCATCGTGACAATATATCACATAAGTTCAAATGAATAAATTTTTGGTAAAATTTTTTTTTTCCAATTAATGCTTCATACGGTGCTTTATTACTGAGCTGATTGACCAATGTTCCAAAACTAGTGTCAATTCTCTTTAAAAATTCTCTTAATTTTGTAATTTCTTTTACAAAACTGATCACAGATTCTATGTCCCAGAGCATTGTCAATCCAACATTAACTGTTAGCCGAATTGGAATTAAGACATCAATTAGTATTTGCCTTACCTTTATGGAACTATTTGTGAAATCATATTCATGTACAATTAGTTTCTCATTATATACTTGTAAAGTAATATATCTGATTTCTTCAAGTAATATTTGAAATGATTGTGTCATATATTGACTATCAAAATTATAATAAACATAAGCTCCTGACATTAGCATTGCCAATATAAACTTTACTCAATCCCTTTCTTTCTTATCAGAAGATGACTTGGATTTACTAACTTCAAGTACATCTACTTCCATTCCAAATTGATGAACTATATCCTTACAAATAAATTTACCATCAGTGCGTATTCCATTACTTCTGCTAGAATAATTATTATCCAAATTAAAGTTTTTCACACTTAAATTAACAAATGTTAATTCCTCATAAATAGTATTTTCATTATTATTAGTCAAGGTCAAGGTCGATGATCGTTTACTATTGCAGCTCGAGCATAATGAAGAATTAGATAATTGCTTTGACACTTTGCTTGCTTGTTGACTTGACTCTGTATAAGATTCATCTCTATATTAAAAGATAAAACTTCAATAGGAATAAGATAAAAGCTGTAAAACCAACTCTAAATAACTTAATATTACCTACATTTTAAATTTTATATACTTTAGGCCTGAAACTAAAGTCTTTAACAGCAGATTTAATACATCTATATACTATTCAGTTTCTGTCTTGCTTTCAATACTAATATCTTCAATGTTCTTTTGTATTTGTTTGCTAAAAAAACATTAATAAAGCAAAGCTTATGACATAGGTGCAAACAGTGTTAACATACTTACAAAGCATCTATAAACTCCTTAAGTCAAGATTCTTCATCACATTCAAATAGAGAATATTTTGCATTATTAACATTCTTTTTAAGCCAATCAGCAATATGTTCAGAGAGAGAACCAGTAAAAGAACAAGAAATTAGCTTATTAACTATTAAATAATATTGTTCATTGAGATAGTCTGATTTCATATCATCGATCTCAAAATGTTCTAAATTTTGCAAAATTCGTCTCTTTAAGTCAATCAAATATTCTTGATCAGATGTGAACTCGATCATCTATAAAATATTATTATTATTATTTATTATTATTATTATTAAGATTATTATTAAAACAATATATATCTACTTACAGCTATATTTTCAATCATCTTTTGCCAGGGGTTTTCTCTGTTATTTTTAATTCTTTGTTCTATTTCTAAAATTTCTTTATACTTCTAATATTATATAGAATGCTAGACCAATTTTTCTTGATTAACGATTCATTACGCTTAAATATAAATGAGTTATTAGTAATTATTATTACCATAATAAGGTGTATATGTCTAGCAAAAAATTAGAAACTCTGTTAGACATTGTTAATTGAATTTTTAGGAAAATTCAATATTCCAATAAGGTAAAAAAAAGCTTTGAATTTTCTGATGGTTGAGCTGTAAGGCTCATGACCATGAACTAACTAAAAGGGTGGTTCGCTGATTGAACTGTAAGGCTCATGACTATGAACTAACTAAAGGGGTGGTTCATTGGTTGAGCTGTAAGGCTCATAACCATGAGTTATCTAAAATGGCAGTTTGTTGGTTGAGCTGTAAGGCTTATAACTATAAACTATTTAAGAGGCAGCTTGTTGGTTAAGCTGTAAGGCTCATAACCATAAACTATTAAGATAAGAAAGGTGGTAAGGCTCACAATCATTATTTGAGAAAAAAATTTTGTCATTCCAATATCTTGCATTCTATAGCAACTTGTAAAAATTTAATCAGCTCAACAGACATTTATTATTAAACAAACTGACACTGACCTGTAATCATCTAAATATATGCTTCTTTTTAAATTCATTATAAGAGTTTATAACACCATTTTTAAAATTTTTTATAGCATCTTGATAATTCATGGAAAAATTTGTATAAGCAGTTAGCCAGTTGAGAATAACTACTTTATAAAAAGGTGTGTGTTTAAAGTATTCCATGCAATGTTAGTGTTGCTATTTGTTGCCTGTAATGGGGTGTTTTATCAACTAGGAAAACAGGAACTGTTGTAAGTCTGGAGCAAAAATTGATTTGTAACAGCCAATCAAATGTTTTAATTTTATATTAATTAATCATGTAGTTGGACAAACAGACAATGATCTGCATGACAGATACTAAATTTTGCTAATGGCCTAGTGCTAGTATATGTGGCTATCATGTGATATATGTATTCTCAAAAATGTAAGTCCTCTGCTATGCTCCAGACAAATAGGAGTTACAATCATTCAATTTTTCTGATATCGATTATCTATTTCTATGTACCGTACAATAGTTACATTTTTGATATTATATATTTATTAAAATCAAGAGAGTAACTTTGAACTTTTGTTGCATCTGACAAAGTTCAAAGTTACTCTTTTGATTTTTAATAAATATATTGCATCAAAAACGTAACTTTTATACATCATCAAGTTATGTTTACCAAAGTTATGAATTAATATTAATTCTATCATGAATAGCAACATTTGTGGTTTTTTTTTTTTTTTAAATATTAACAGTGAGGCCATGCCTTTAACTTTATTGAAATTTAATTAAAGTTTTTACAAAGAAAAGCT